ATAGAAAATAAAGCGTAAGTGCATGTAAGTGCATTTTAATTTTTCTAAGGTTCTCTAACTTAACCAGTAACATATAGATTTTCATATTGGATAGGGATATTTCATTTCAAGGTTAATTAATACCATTTGTTTTAATGTCCATGAAAGTTCTATGTCTTATCAAACAACATTGAAATGGTTTACAATGATTTTCAAGTTCTTAGATGGTAAATGATTTTCAAGTTCTTACAATGATTTTCAAGTTTTCAAACAGTAATGTATAACAATGGATGAGAACACTGAGATTAATTCAACATATTGATCTCAGTAATGAGTTAATTCTTACACTGAGATGATCTCAGTAATGAGTTGATCTCAGTTAACTAATGAGAATACTGATCTCAGTAATGAGTTCATTCTTACGTTGAGATTGGTTAACTGATGAGAACATTGTATGTCAAAATTAGTTAATTCAAACATAATTTAAGTGAGAACACTGTATGAAAACATAATTTAAACATAATTGGAACACTGTATGAGAACACTAAGATTAGGTAAATTACCCTAAATGTCAAAATTAGTTAATTCAAACATAATTTAGAATGACACAGATTAGCATCAAGAAAGATTAGCATCATGTCACTAAATTAGTATGACACATAATTTATTTACTTGCTTGTTTGAAAATAATTGGCATGCATCAGGAGTCTATAGAGATAATTTCATCAACCAAAACAATTGCTATGCATCAAGACTTTCATCAACCAAAACATAAAAAATCAGGACAATTTCTCTATGGGGACTTTCATCAAACAATTGGCATACATCACTACAATATAAATGTTTAATAGAGGCCTTGCTTCCAGAACAACCAAAATTTTTTTTTTTTACAAACACAGATCAAATAAATTGCCTCTTACAAATGCATCTCAGAAAAAAAAAATGTTGACCAATAACGAGATGTTCAAACTGTTTAGGACAATAAGTTATTGGTTTCTAGAGTGCACAGATAATCTGTTTATCCGTTTATGAGATTTATGAGTAAGAGACAAATGAGATTTATCTGTTTATAATCTGTTTATCTGGTTCTTGTTTATCTGACAAATGAGATTTATGATAATCTGTTTATCTATTTATAATCTGTTTATCTGCACAGATAATCTAGTTCCTGGAGTTCATCTGTTTATGAGATTTATGAGTAAGAGACAAATGTATCTCAAATAAACCAATAACTTACCTACATGAACAGATACAAAATTTTTAGGACATTCGGCATGGAGATTCCGAACAGCAGTGGATGGTGGTCAGCGACGCTCGTCGGTGAACACCAGGTCGGTGGTCGTCGTGGTCGTCTCTCTCGCCATCGTCGTCGTCATCGTCGTCGCAACCTCCCTCTCTCTCCCTTCTCTCTTCTCTCCTCTCTTGTTTCTATTTTTTGTTTCATTAGTTTGCTATGCAAAACACATGAGCTCCACGTGCATCAAATTTTCGGAGGGAAACCAATTTCGAGCCATTCGAACTGTTGTATATTTGGGCCCTGTAGCAACTCTGTTATTACAAATAATATTATTCTTTTAAAAAAAAAATCAAACAATCAACTTTTAATCATATTTCCAAAATACCAAACCTTGTTCTAGGGTTTGTATCGAACAACACCGTCCCGCAACACCATCGTCCCTCTTATTTATCTTCTTCTTCGCCGTCGACAGCACCACATCCGTCGCTGCCAACAATAGCACCACCTCCGTCGCCGCCGATCTACTACTCAATCTCCAACATCGTCACCGCTATCTTCTCTTCCTCCTTTTTCGTCCACCGCCGTTTGAGTGATCCACGCCGATCTGCAGCCGTCGTCTCCAGATCCGATCCGTCACGGCTGTTGTCCTCTCCAAATCTGGAAGTGCGTTCGTTTTCTCAGCCATATTTTCCAGATCTCGCGACGAAAAGGCACCACATGGTGGGAAAAATGATATGCGGAAGATTGTTTTTTGGAAATAAAGAGAAACATTTGTGTTTGGTCTCAGGTGTGTGTATTATTGTGTGTGCTTTTTAACTTTACAGCATCTCTGCTCTGGTGTTGCTAAAATAACATATTAAACCTAATTTTTGGTACTCCAATGGTGAAAATTCTATTTTTCCTATGTTCTTTATAAAAATCAAATATAAATGTCATTTGTGGTCTCAAAAGATAGAGATAAGAACTCTCACTAATTTTATTTTATTTTTTTTGACATTTTGAAAACTTTAGACATAAAATTTGACATTAATATAATTTGATATAGAATATAGTATAGCATTGGAGATGAATTTGAAAAGGTTGTTGTCAATTATTGACTTTGATAATTGACATGAGGATAGCGCATATTGTATGGGATGGAGGAGAGGGGTGTTAATGTAAGTAATGATAATTTGGTAGGCTGACTGTTGATAAAATCTGAGTAGTATTTGGAAGGTGATGATTATGTTGTTTGTCATTGAACTAAAAACTGGTGGTATTAGATTTAATGTATAGATAAAAAGAGAGAGAATGAATTATGTATTGATTATTGATTGATGTATGTTATTGTGTATATTACAAGGAGATGTGCACTCTCTTTTATAGAGAGGAAAAGATACATAGGGTGCCAATTAGCACCGAAAGCATAAAGCAAATGGGGAACACTCATTATGAAAGCTAGACATAATGATACACTAACAATTATGACTAACACTACTAGATGTACATAATATACTAAAGATACTAATCACTAATATACAATAATAAACTAACAGCCCCCCTCAAACTCAAGGAGGATAGGTACTAACCAACTTGAGTTTGGAGAGAGTAACAAAACAGGAAAGTAAATTGATAAAAGAAAATAAAATAGGATAGGAGACACTGTATGGTCGTGTCGAACCGTTGGTGAAGACACTGTATGGTTGTGTCAGACCGTTGTAGGAGCTAACCGGAATCAATGTCGGGACAGTTTATGGGGTCATGCCGGACCGTTGTAGAAGCTGACCGGAATCAAATGTCGGGACAGTTTACGGGGTCATGCCGGACCGATGTAAATGCTTATGGTGGTGCACCAAGGAGGCGACTTAGGGAGTGCGCCATGTGGTGGCTTGGGTGGTTCGCATGGTGTGTAACCATGCTCACCATGATATATGTATAACCCCCCCTCAAACTCAAATAGGTGTGAAGATAGAAACCTATTTGAGGTTAAAAATAAAGTGAGTGATAAAGGGGATCAAGACAGTTTTACGGGGTCATGTCGGACCGATGTAGCAGACACTGTGTGTGTCGTGTCAGACCGTTGTAGAAGACAGTTTATGGGGTCATGGCGGACCGTTGTAAAAGTCACACCTCAAAAGTGTGCCCAATCCCTCAAAAGGCGTGCCATCAAAAGGCGTGCCCAATCCATAAAAAGGTGTGCCATCAAAAGGCGTGCAACTATCTTGGCTTGCGCGCCCGTTTTGTCGTCTGGCGTCAAGTGGCGCGCGAGGCGCGGATCTGCTTGGCTATTTAACCAAGACGAAGGCTGAGGCTGAGGCGAGACTGAGACAAAAAACTGCGAAAACCTCTGAAAAAAACTCTTCGTTGTCTGAGAGAGAGACTCTGTAACACTCTTGTGCCCAGAAAATGGCTTCGTCTTCCCGTGGTCTGCTCACGCTCTCTTTCTCGACCTCAACGAGTCAACAAGAGAGATAACTGGTGCGGTGGCCCGTGAACCTCAACAAAACATCTCTGGTTTTGCTCCGTTGAACTTTCCGATGCGGTCTGTGGAGCAAAAAATGGCGGTGCAAACTGATATTGAGGCCAATCAGTATACTTTGAAGTCATGTGTGGAGACCATGACTGCGGTCACAAACTTGTCGCACCGGCTGCAGAGTAGGACAAATGAGGTGCAGCAGTTAAACGCCCAACTGGCTCTGCTCCAGCGCATGTATAAGGATGCGCGAGCAGAGATAAGTGTGCTAAAGGCGGAAAATAAGGAGCTGAAGCGGAAGGCCACCGTGATGTTCCGATTTGGAGGTCCGCCATATGCTGCAGTGGAGGAGCAGGGAGTAGTGATCATGCCCAGTGGAGTGGGAAACACGGAGGCAACACCGGCAAGGGCCGCCCAGGACGGAGGCAAGAAGAAAAGACCGGCGGCAGAGTAGAGAAGAAAAAATCCCGCCTGTGGAAGAGGTTTGTGGTGGGGGTTTTTTTTTTTTTTTTGGTGTAAAATGGTGATCGGGGTGAGCCCCGATATGAATAAAATGAGTTTGGTGTGCAGTTCGTCTTCCTCTGCTGCTGTTTTTGTTTTTTTTTTTTTTTGTTGCAAAGAAATAATAATGAAAAAAGGTTTCGTGGCCATGGTTTTGTGAAAACCTGCAATGGGTTTGGTATTTGTTGTTGTATATGGTTTTTTTTTTTTGGTGTTTTAATAATAATAATAAGAATAGATTAATGGCGAAAGCATGTGCCTCGGGGTATTGGAAAGTGAAAAAAAAAATGAGAGAGAGAACCGATTCTGATATGGTGTTTTTTTTTTTTTTTTTTTTTTTTTGAAGATAAGAAAAGGGAACAAGACCATGTGGGCAGGAGCCTTTGCTGAAGGCAGAGTTTCATGGGAAATTGTTCACCACGAGGTGTATTTGCTTGCATGTGATGGCTAGAGAGATATATGTTGGGCTCGGGCTAGAGAGAGAGAGAGAGCTTCGGTGTAGGTGACTTGGTGGGTGTGGCATATACAGAGGAGGAAAGAAAAAGGGACCAGAGAGAGAGAGGTAGTGGGTTGATAAAAAAAAAAAAATGGCTCTGGGTCTGTGTCGTGCTGTCTGTATTGGGGTGTGAATGTATGGTGTGTATTAGAGAGAGAAGAGCGAGAGCTAGTGCATGTGTGTCGGTCTGTGAGGTGCCGAAAGAGAGAGAGACGACAACAAATTCTTGTGAAGTGAAAGCTTTATTGAACACAGAAAAAACTGGGATACATGGTCAAGATATGTTCCTTGCACTGCGTATCACCTGAAAGACGTTGATAGATCTTTGGCGGGGCTTCTCAGTGAGTGTGAGAAGACGATGATGAAGAATGAGAGTGTGAGTGGGAGTGCGAAGGAGCAGAGATCTTGTTGTAGGCGGTTTCGCCGACGAGGTAGATGCCGAAGGCGACGAGAGCGATGCCGAGGCCAGGAGTGGCGTGGCGGAGCTGGTTCGTCAGCATCGGGTGCTTCCTCCACTCGTCCCTCCTCCTGAAGAACTCCCCTGTGGGTCCCAATGGAGGAAGAAGATAGCGGAGGCGAGGCCGAAGAAGAGATCGGGGGGGAAGGGGAGGAGGGAGGTGGAGTCGGAGATAAGGAGAGAGAGAGATTGTGGTTGTCTAGTTGGAGTCAAGCTCATGCATGGATCATAAACTGCCATGTGTGGTAGAGATCCGAAGCGGCATGTGGCAACGGGTTCGCCGATGGATAAGCTGGTGACGAGCATGATGAGAAGATGCGGATTGATCGTGGGAAAAATTGATGAAGCATAAGCATGGTTGGGTTCCGGCGGGCGTTGCGCTCTGTGCCTAATTACATGGCTGCAACTGTGTCTGCCAAGGCTCGGATTCGATCGCAGAGTGCGCCGAGGCAGAGAGCATTGACACCAGAGAGAGAGAAACTGAGTTCGGCGAAGAAACGCCTTTCGTTCCTTGTTCCAGGAGAGGCATACACCAATGGAGTTGGGACTAGTGATAGTGATGTTTCATTTGAGTGTAATAACTTGAGGAGTCCAAGTTGGAAGAGCATTTACAGAGAACAGTTTGGGATGGTGCAAAGGCCTAATATGTGCTTTGGTGATGAGGGTTCTTCACCTTCAACTAGTGGTGGTGTTAGGAGGTGGTTGAAATGATGCACTTTTAACTGATTGAATGAATCTTCTATGTGCTTTGGAGGTTTGTATCAGAGTAGCGCAGCATAAGCATGGTTGGGTTCCGGCGGGCGGTGAAGGTAAGGTTGCCGCCCGCCGGAAGGTGAAGATCACCAAGAGCTAACCTATAGCTCTGATACCATATTAGATTTAATGTATAGATAAAAAGAGAGAGAATGAATTATGTATTGATTATTGATTGATGTATGTTATTGTGTATATTACAAGGAGATGTGCACTCTCTTTTATAGAGAGGAAAAGATACATAGGGTGCCAATTAGCACCGAAAGCATAAAGCAAATGGGGAACACTCATTATGAAAGCTAGACATAATGATACACTAACAATTATGACTAACACTACTAGATGTACATAATATACTAAAGATACTAATCACTAATATACAATAATAAACTAACAGGTGGAATAAATTTTATTATATTGATTGAGGTTGGTTGTTTGTGTGTTTGACTTGTAATATGTTTGTGTGGTGATTTTGGTTGCAGATTGATCTACGGTTCCAGAGCCATGTTGTGCTAGCACTGTAGGAGGCTACTGAGGCATGTCTTGCGGTTCTGTTTGAGATCTCTTTGTGGATTATTTGCACTGTTGTAGTGTTCACTGGTGAAATAGTAAGTGGTTGAGACTTTTTTTTTTTGGAGAAGATGTTGTTGGAGTGTGTCCACATTGTTTGGAGTTGTCTCATCTGATTATAAGATTTTAGTTTTGCTCTCTTTAATACTTGAGTTTTAAAAATAAGTATGGGCTGAATTTTTCAATTTGGTATTAAAGCTTGGTTAGGTCTGTGATTGGTGTATTGTTTGTCCAGCTAGCTACTATATATTGTGGTCTAGGAGGGTGTGTTGAAATGTGTCTTATCTGGAGTTGCTCTATATGTACTGATTATAAGATTTTAGTTTTTCTCTTCTTAATACTTGAGTTTTAAGGAGAAATCTTGGACTGGACTTTTCAATTAATGTCATCGTCAAAGCTCAAAAACACAGATAGAGAAGAAAATTTGTACAAACAAAAATATTGAAAAGATAAAAATTTGGACAGGTAAATTTTGGACAGATAAAAAATTTATACAGAAAATTTTTTTAACAAATAAATATAAATTTGAATAGAAATTCAACGAAAAGTCAACTAGATAAAAAAAAAAGAAAAAAAAAGTCAATGGGTAAAATTGAAAACAAAATATCTTTTAGGACTTCTCACCAAATTATTTTACGAATTGTGGGCCTCTCATAAAAAAAAAAAAATTAAAAAAATCATTGGACTTAATACTTTATACAATTGTTAGAGTGAATTTCATACCTTTTTAAAAAAAAAAATTTATCAAGTAATAAATAAATTAAAACTAAACAGTCATAAAATAACTCTTATTTTATTTTTTAAATTATGAAACCAAACATAAGTCTTGTTTGGGAAATTGACTATTTTAGTTGGCTATGGAGTATTTTTTTTTTCCTCTTCTTCTGTGACTATTTTAACTTGGTTAAAATAGTTATGTTTGAGAGGTTGATTAACTTTTTTTTTTTTAATGATTGTGAGAGAAAAAAATAAAAGAGTAAGTTGGTGCTAAATCCAATTTGAAAGGTGTCTAAGACATTAGATGCATTGAATATTATTTTATTAGGATTTATGCTTCATACCCCCACTGGGGGTCGACCCCCAGTGAGGTGTCGGCCCCGGATTGGTCCGAAAAAAAAAACTATTTTTTTTTTTTTTTTTTTAAGTTTTCAGCCAGTGGGGGCGCGCCACGTCACTGGGGGCGCGACCCCCACTGGGGGTATATAGCGCTGTTGTTTTATTAGTGATAGATTCACCTTTTGTGAAATAGTTTGGTAATAAATCATTTTTATTGTTTTGAAGGATATTTGTTTTCAATTTTACCTTTTAATTTATCTGTTGACTTTCGTTGACTATCTGTTCAAATTTTTTTCTTATCTGTTCAAAAATTTTCCCTATTTGTTCAAAAAATTTCTTATCTGTTCAAATTTTTTCTTATCTATTCATTTTTTTTCTTATTTGTTTAATTTTTTTACCATATCTGTTCAATTTTTTAATCTTGTCAATTCAAATTTCTCTTATCTATTTAAATATTTGTTCAAATAAAATTCTATTCGTCTAATTTTTTGTCTATCTATTCAATTTTCCCATATTTGTTTAATTTTGTTTTATTTTGTCAGTTCAAATTTTGTTATTATTTGTCAAGCCAACTCTATTTGACGTCAAAATCTTTTCTATCTGTTGCAAATGCTAGTTATCTGTTGCAATATAAAGCCAAACCAAACGTATCTGTTAAAAAATTAGTATTTTTCTATCTGTTCAAATATCTCTCTATTTCATCTGTTCAACATAACACAAGATTAAGAAAAAATGGTGCAATCTGTTTCATTTTTATCAACATCAACATCATCAACAACATCATCAAAATCAACATCAACAACCAAAACGACTACAATTACAACTACATATACATACACATACACATATACAATAGATTAACTACCAAAAATAAAATAAAATTGGAGATAGAGACAGAGACACACATACACATACATAAATACATACATAAGATCTAAGTGTGTATAATCAACACATATCTGATATCTATGTATTTGAGTGTGTGTTAGAAAGAGATAGAGAGAAAGAGAGATTTGAGCAACGAGATTATGCAGTGTGTCGACGGCGATGGATGACAGAGGATGACGACGTGAGGTGTGAGTAGGAATGGCAACGGGTTGGGGCTGGGGCTGGGGTTGGGGCTGGGGCTGGGGCTGGGGCTGAGCCTAATTTTTTGGCCCGTGGTCCGACATGGACCGCGCCGAGCCGGGCCCGGCAAAGCCAGATTTACACCTGTAACACCCACACTCCTCGTTTCCGATCCCCGATGGCGAAAATTTTTCCGTCTCCGGCCCCAATCCCTGATGGGGAAACTATTACCGTCCCCGTCTCCGTCTCCGCCCTCAATGGGGATCGGGTTTCCCCAACCTCGAAAATTTTCCGATCCAAATCTGTTTCAACATTCAACACCATCAACAACAACTTTCAATATCCTTAAAAAATCATACACAAAGAGAGAGAGAGACACACACATACATACTTACATGTATACATTCACACAGAAAGAGACATATACATATATTATACATACACACAGAGACACACACACACACATAGAGAAAGATGGAGGAGATCGGTGGAGATCGGCTGATCGGTGGTGACAACGGAGGAGATCAACACAGATCTAAGATCTCTTTGTGACTGCGACGATGGTGACTCGACAGATAGGAAGAGAGAGGGCAGCGATGAAGGTGGAGCGAACGGCAAAGTCGACGGAGGTGAAGTGGCGGTACAAGATGGATAGCAACTCCGGCGTCGTGGATAGTGGCGGCTGCGCTGAGGAGGCAAATAGGAGAGGTGCGAGAGTGAGAAAGAGTAGAGGGAAGAGAGAGAGTGAGAGGTTGAGAGATAAAACAGAACATAGGGGTTATATTAAGGGGTATATATAGTAAGTTTACTTCGGGGGGCTAACAGGGATGGGGTCAAGGCCGGCGACGAGCCGGGACCAAGGGTGAAAAACATATCACCGTCCCCGGCTCGAAAATCATCAAGGATTTATTTTTGAGTATCATCCCCTGCTTGTTGGAGATATTTTTTGAGAAAAAATCGCTTTGATCGGGGTTGGGGGTTCGGATCCCCATTGGGCCGGTTTCAAATTATCATCCCTAGGTATATATTTGTTAGGTTTTGATGTATATATGATATATATAAAAGGGTATTTTGGTTAATTTGATTGAAGTTATCTTTTTAGACAAAATATTTCAACACTTCAACTTTTAAACTAACAAAATTAAAATTTAAACTTTCAAATTGAATAAATAAAATAAAATAATTATAAATTATATATAATATTTTATGTTGTTAATTATTTTAATTTATTTTATCTCTTTAGTGAGTTATTTTATTCCAAACATCTCTCCAAGGCGCCTATCAGATTAGCCCTACCAAATCTATATATAGCGGACCCGTCAACGAGCACGACACGAGACCGTGCGGCTCGGAGCTTCAATTGTACAGCTATTTCTAACGTAGGCCGCGGTAGCGTACGAACTGTTGCACAAAATCTGCGGTTTCGTCGACTGAATCGCCGGCGAAACTAAAAATGATGATTGAGACGAAAGACGTTAATAACACAGACACCAAAACCGATGATGAAGCCGCCGACCACCTCTTGCCGCCGTCGACGCCGTCTCTATCAAACGACGAAGACGAAGACGAAGACGAAAATGCGTTCGAGTCCCGCGAGAAGATCAGCGTCGTGGATTTAGAATACGGCGACGGCGTAGATCAATCGGCGATAGCACCGTTCTCGTGGAAGAAGCTGTGGCTTTTCACGGGTCCAGGGTTCTTGATGAGCATAGCGTTTCTGGATCCGGGAAATCTGGAGGGAGATCTACAGGCGGGGGCGATTGCTGGGTATTCGCTGCTGTGGTTGTTGATGTGGGCCACCGGGATGGGTTTGCCGATCCAGCTGTTGTCGGCGAGGATCGGTGTCGCCAGGGGGAGGCACTTGGCGGAACTATGTAGGGAAGAGTATCCGTATTACGGGTAGAAATTTGTTGTTGTGGTTCATGGCGGAGCTTGCTTTGATTGGGGCTGATATTCAGGAGGTGATTGGGAGTGCAATTGCTATCAAGATTCTCAGCAATGGGTTTTTTCCTATCTGGGCTGGTGTTGTTATAACCGCTTCTGACTGGTTAGTTTTCGGGGAATTTGTTTTCTGGTGATTGGTTACTGAGAAAAGATTGGGAAAATTAATTGGTTTTTTTTAATTGGTTTTTAGGATTTGAATTGTGATTGTTGATCTGTTTATTGTTTGGAACCTGAAAGAACAAATAGTTCTTCACTTTAAGCAATTGAAATTGAAATTTTCTTGTTTAGATACCAGAATAGCAAATTGACACCAAAATTGTTTGATTTATACTAATAATAATTGTTGCCCTGTTCTGTTGTTGTTAATTTCACATCATATAGTAGTTATTGAGTTGTCTATATTATTTTTTATGCTCAAAATGTCTCATTTGCTATTTTTTTTTCTTAAATTTAAATCTTTTAAGACACTGTTAATTTGTCAGTTAGTTGAAAGGTACTTTCTTGTTTCTTGGCCTTATTACATTGGATCTCATTAAATGTTTACCTTTTTTCTAATAATTTACTGCTACTGATTCTGAAATTAAGCAATTGCTTCACAAAAATGAAAGTTCATTCTGTTGACAAGTTTTGTTTTGTTTTACTGTCGTGAACAGTTTCATCTTTTTATTTTTGGAGAACTATGGAGTGAGGAAATTAGAAGCTGTTTTTGCAGTTCTCATCTCAACTATGGCATTATCGTTTGCCTGGATGTTTGCTGATGCGAAACCTAGTGGAAAAGAACTTTTCGTAGGTGAGAAACGTATTTTGTTTTGTTTTGGATTCTCCTCTTAACATACAATTAAATTTATGATTTCTATAGTCATATGTAAAAACAGAATTCATTCCTCTTTGTAGGTCTCTTGGTTCCAAAACTCAGCTCAAAAACAATTAGGCAGGCTGTTGGAGTGGTGGGATGCGTTATTATGCCTCACAATGTATTTTTGCATTCTGCTTTGGTGCAGTCAAGGAAGATCGACCCTAAAAAGAAAGGGCATGTCCAAGAGGCACTAAATTACTACTCAATTGAATCTTCAGTGGCCCTTCTCATCTCCTTCATGATCAACTTGTTTGTTACTACTGTATTTGCTAAAGGATTCTATGGCTCCGCAGAAGCAAATAATCTAGGCCTATTAAATGCAGGACAGTATCTTAATGAGAAGTATGGTGGAGGGCTTTTCCCCATTCTCTATATTTGGGGCATCGGGCTATTGGCGGCTGGGCAAAGTAGTACTGTAACGGGAACTTATGCAGGACAGTTCATCATGGGAGGTTTTATTAACATTCGATTGGAGAAATGGATGAGGGCATTGATCACCCGAAGTTGTGCTATTGTGCCTACTATGATCGTGGCTCTTATATTTAACAGATCTGAAGCTTCATTAGATGTTCTGAATGAATGGCTTAATGTGCTTCAGTCCATACAAATTCCCTTTGCACTTATCCCACTTTTGACCTTGGTGGCTAAGGAGGAAGTCATGGGAGTCTTTAAAGTTGGACCTACTCTGGAGGTAAAATGTTATTCCTTCCTACTCTTGCCATTTATTTGCACAATAATCATTGCTTTGTGAATGGCCTTGGCTAGATTTAAGTAATAACCTGCCACAGAAATCATTCCACAACTATTTTCGTGAATTTTTTTTGTGAAAACCCCATTTTTAGGGCACACTTTTATGTTGCTTTCTAAATTTTCAGAAATTGTTTTCACAAAAAATGAAAACGATGGAACAAATTAAGCCTTAAGCAAGAAAACTAAGAAGATGAGATTCATCAAGGTTGAGTCTAAGAAGATGTGTTGCTCTCATTAGAATTTAGATCCGAAAGGGAACCTAGAGAGAACCCTTTACAAATCATAAAATCAAGGTTATTCTTCTTGGGGCTTTTATGGGAAACGTGATTGATCAAATGCTGCATCATGAGAAGATAGATGTACATGCACTGATATGATGTATTATTCGGCTAGGAGGTGATACATGTGTATGGGGTACTTTCTCAGCCAGGTATTGATGAGATTGGGGTGGCCTAACTGGTTAGAAATGGTAGTGGTTGGCTGGCTTATGCATGAATTCCAATTCAGAAATACTAAAAGCCTACATAATCATTTGAAGAAAAATTCTTGAAAAAATCTTTTACTCACACTTAGCTATTATTACTCATTCTTTTGAAGAAAAAATCTTGTTGAAACCACTAGTTTTAATTTCTTGGTCTGAACGGTGTTGCATAAACCTTGCATTGCATGTGTATCATCTAAGTGTTAACCAGAATTGCATTCATATACATTATCAAGCTGTACTGTGTGTAAATTTGTTGCAAAGTAATGGAAAATAAGTAGCTTGTTTCAATTCTCATATTGTTAGTTTGTGTTGCAGAGGGTTGCGTGGACTATAGCTGCCCTAGTAATTGTTATCAACGGGTATCTCTTGCTGGATTTTTTCATTTCCGAAGTTAATGGGCTGGTTTTTGGGCTTATAGTCAGCACCGGGACTGCAGCATATGTGGCATTTATTATATACCTTATATTACATGGTGATGGCTTTCCTTCTACTTGGATCAGCTTAATACGTGCTAAGGGGCTTGGTTACAGTACTGCAAATTGAGCCAAAATGTCTTCGTGTGTACTTGAAGCAATTGGAAAAAATTTCAAAACACAGGTCAACCAAAGCTTTGCCAAAATGGCTGTTGGTCTGCTAGTTTGGAACTAGAGAATTCTTCCACCTCAAATACCTCAACTCAATTACCTCTTAGCTTCAGAATCTGTTTATACTTTACGGTGAGTATACAAATCCGATATTGAAGGGTTTGCGTGTTTCTGCACTGGCAAAAGAGGTTTATCCACTGCCAATGTAATATAGTCTTTGTATTATATGTATTTTCAAGTAGATGTAGAATGAACTACTCGGTCGGTCTTTAGTTTTTTTTTTTTTTTTTAACTGATAGATATTGTCTGATGTCACACTAGCAATTGTTGAGGTACCCAGAGGGGAGTTCAATCAGATATAGGATGAAAGGAATTTTGTCTGATGTCAATTCTGTTAACAAATACTTCAATCAATTGTTGATGATTTTTCTTTATCTGTCATTGGTTGATGACTTCACAAGTGTAAGTTTTTGTTTTGATATATTTCTTATATTACTTTATGAATCAGATGGTGAGGGAGAAGTCTATGAATCCCACTTGGACTACTCCGAATTTATCCCGAATGGGAATGTATAGTTGAGATTGAATTTGTGTAGTGTGGGATTTATATGTAGAATAAATTTTAATTATAAGATAATAATTCTGAGTAATTTATGGATAGTTAAATCTGAGTTTGTAATATTATTAGGTGAGAAAAAAGGTTTGTATATTAATAAGGTATTTGTTAGAATTTACCATCACCTACCACCACTACCACCTCACTTACTCCACTAAACCTAACTCACTACACTACTACCACCTCACCTACTCCACTAAACCTAACCCACTACACCACTACCACCATCCACTACACCTACATCTATATAAGGAACCATTTGTAATAGACAGAAGATCAATCAACAAGATATCAATCAATAATACATAAATTGTTACATGGTATCAGAGCAAGGTTAAGACTCTAGTAATTTTGCTTCACCGGCGGGCGGCAACCTCGCCTTGGCCGCCCGCCGGACCTCAATCTATTTCGCTTATTTTTTACACATACCTTCCCATCATTGTCCAAATCTTCTCTCTCTCGGAGGCAACCCAGCAACACCCAATCGAGCTTGCTCTCGGAATGACTGAACCAGCCTCCGAGTCACCGTGAAGCTCACCATCCAGAACCGCCAGGCCAAAGTCTCCGTCATCCCCTCCGTCGCCGCGCTCGTCATCAAGGCCCTGAAAGAGCCCGAGCGCGATCGCAAGAAGACGAAGAACATCAAGCACACTGGAAACATCTCTCTGTACATACAGCAAACTTGATTTATGTTGACTGGAACAACAAAAGCCAAGATCTGTGGATGCAAGATTTCCCTTGCAAGCAAGCAAGAACTCAAACCTGCAATTGAAAGGTTCGCACAAGCAGCCTATGGAGGAGGCGATTACTGGCTTCCGACACCTAATGTCACAGGCGGTGATGATATCAACACCGCCGCCGATACAAGCCCCGTGCACAGCGGTGATTACTGGCTTCCGACACCTCTCTACGGCTGTGACCGGTTCCTGGAAGCGCTTGATCTCTCGGCGGACGCGCTCGGCTGTGCGGCCGTGGTCGCTGGATTCGAAGGTGATTGAGCTTAGGGCTTTGAGATCGATGCCTGAGCAGAAGTGATCGCCATTGCCGGAGAGGACTATGACGGCGACGTTAGTTTTTTGATCGAGAAACGATAGGGCTTTGGGGAATTCTGTCAAGAAATCGAGAGAGTGCGCGTTGAAGTGGCCTGAATTTACTACCAGCTCTTGGCAACTTCAATATCAATTCCACCTTTTTCAAGAAGTTTGACTACAGCAGTGCAGCGGTTAGGTTAATTGGGTCTGTCCCTGGATATCCTAAGGCTCCTAATTTGAAAAAGTGGGGACATATGACGTTGCGTACCATTATCATCATCATCATGTTCCCCACTCTCTCTCTCTCTTTTCTTTTAGCAGTTTGAAAACACATGGGCATGTCCCTCCTTTTTTTCACCATCTCCCTCTTTTTCTACACAATATTTTTGTACCACCGCCCACTCCATGATACCAATATTATTATTATTATTATTATTATTATTATTATTATTTTTCACAAAAAAAAAAAAAACACCTTGGACGGGCTGGGCCTCGGACAGAGCCTTGAATGGGCCTTAAACGGACCGATGGGTCGGGTCGGGCTTCAAAGTGATGACTTAGGCCCTAACCTAGGGTCTCGGACATGCTCGGGCTCGGACCCAAACGAGCCTGCCCTGGGCCTTGGGCAGGCTTCGGGTAGCCCACGGGCCGCGTGCCAATTATACATTCCTATCAATGTGCATTTTAATGTGAATATTCACATTGTCAATGGGCCGGGCCGGGCCTACCCCAGGCCGCGGGCAAGCTTCGGGTAGCGGGCAAATTTTACACTCCTATTAATGTTAATGTTAACATGTCAGTGTGAGTATTCACAATGTCACGGGTCAGGCTGCGGGCTAATTTTACACTCTTATCAATATAAATGTTAACATGTCAATGTGAATATTCACATTGACATGTTAACATTCACATTGATAAGAATGACACCCCCATACAGTGTCCTCTACAACGTTATGACACCCCCATACAGTGTCCTCTACAACGTTATGACACCCCCATACAGTGTCCTCTACAACGTTATGACACCCCCATACAGTGTCCTCTACAACGTTATGACACCCCCATACAGTGTCCTCTACAACGTTATGACACCCCCATACAGTGTCCTCTACAACGTTATGACACCCCCATACAGTGTCCTCTACAACGTTATGACACCCCCATACAGTGTCCTCTACAACGTTATGACACCCCCATACAGTGTCCTCTACAACGTTATGACACCCCCATACAGTGTCCTCTACAACGTTATGACACCCCCATACAGTGTCCTCTACAACGTTATGACACCCCCATACAGTGTCCTCTACAACGTTATGACACCCCCATACAGTGTCCTCTACAACGTTATGACACCCCCATACAGTGTCCTCTACAACGTTATGACACCCCCATACAGTGTCCTCTACAACGTTATGACACCCCCATACAGTGTCCTCTACAACGTTATGACACCCCCATACAGTGTCCTCTACAACGTTATGACACCCCCATACAGTGTCCTCTACAACGTTATGACACCCCCATACAGTGTCCTCTACAACGTTATGACACCCCCATACAGTGTCCTCTACAACGTTATGACACCCCCATACAGTGTCCTCTACAACGTTATGACACCCCCATACAGTGTCCTCTACAACGTTATGACACCCCCATACAGTGTCCTCTACAACGTTATGACACCCCCATACAGTGTCCTCTACAACGTTATGACACCCCCATACAGTGTCCTCTACAACGTTATGACACCACCATCCAGTGTCTTTACCAATGGTCTGACACGACCATACAGTGTCTCTTATCCTCTTTTATTTTTATGTATTTTCTTGTTTTGTTACTTTCTCCAAACTCAAGTTGGTTAGTTTCTATCCTCCTTGAGTTTGCAGGGGGCTGTTAGAATTTACCATCACCTACCACCACTACCACCTCACCTACTCCACTAAACCTAACCCACTACACCACTACCACCATCCACTACACCTACATCTATATAAGGAACCATTTGTAATAGACAGAAGATCAATCAACAAGATATCAATCAATAATACATAAATTGTTACAGTATTAAGTGGCACTATTTTTACATCAATTACAATATATATGTATCTTAGGCTCCGTTTGGCAAGAGCTAAACGGGGCTTTTTTTGGCTATTTTAGCCACAAAAGACAAAATAGGCTATTTTAGTCACAAAAAACAAAATATCACATTCAACCCATCATCATTACATTATTCTCTCACAAAAAAAGTCAAAAAAGTCAAAAAGTCAAAAAGTCCTTCCCAAACCAAACTTTTTAGCCCAGGTTAAAATAGTCAAAAAAGTTAAAAAGTCAAAAAGTCAACCCACTTCCCAAACGGAGGCTTAGTATTTTCTAAATACTCAATAATATGGCTCCTGTTTCATTATTTTTTACTAATTATAATAATGGAAGATACTAAAGGGTAAAAAATATAATAATGGAAGATACTAAAGGGTTTGATTGGGTGTCCTAAATAAGTTGAGGTTGAGGTTGAGGTTGAAAATATGAATGTTTGGGTTAGTTTTTTGACTTTTTATGAAAAAATGTGTAATAAAAAATTATAAAAATTAATTTGTAAGGGAAAATTAGAATTGGGAATTGTGTAGTTATAATTGTTGACTTTTGGTGAATAATAATAATTTTTTAACTTTTTGAGTAACTTTTTAACTCCTCGTTTGGGAACAGGCTAATTTAGTAATTTTAAAAAGGTAGGTAAAAAAATTTGTATATTTGGGATGACTTTTTAGCTAATTACGAAAAGATGTGCAAAAAGTAGAGAGAAAATAGAATCTTTGACTTTTTTGTATGAGTTGTTGACTTTTTGACTAATTTTTGACTAATTAACTAAAAAAATAAGTCCCTAAACGGGGCCTAAATATACCTACTTACATACAAAAAGTACTTAAGTGAGGGAGGGTTTACAAGATTTTGGGGAAGTTTATTCATTTTTGCCTAAAGCCTTTTTGGCATTTTATAGGCATCGTTTGGTGTAACTGTTAAAATAGCTTATAGATTATAACTTAACAGATTATAGATTATGACTTTAATCAGAAGTTGTTAATCTGTTTGGTGTAGCTGTTGAATTATAGATTTAAGTTGCTGAGTAGTGTTTGTTAAATAAGTTGTGAAATAGTTTTTTCAATTAATTTTTATTTTTTGTTTGTCTACATTTCTCATAAAAAATAATAATAATAATCTATAGTCTATTTGGGTCTTTTTCTATTTTTAAAAAAATAAAAAATAAAAAAATTTAAGAGTAGAACAAAAAATTAACATATCAACAGCAAAAGCTGATAATCAGAAGCAAGGGGTGAGCAGCTTCTCAGAATCAGATTTTTTGAGTTAAAATAAACTGTTAGAATCAGAAACTGTTTGAAATAAGTTTAACCAAACAGTTCAAAATAATTTTTTCAAAATTAAAAACCATAAACTAACTCTGAAAAGTTGAAACAAACACCCTCATAGTCTTCGCTATTGGTGCAACTGACGCCGGCCCGAACACATACTCAAATCACATGCACCTCCATAAAAGAGCCTACATGAAAGTGCGTTCCCATTTTAAAACCATTTCCTACATGCAATAATGATAGAGACCACTAATTTTGAAGCTCTAAAAATACCACTAATGACATGGCACTCAATAAAAAAAGAAAAAAAATACAACACCAAGGCCAAAACATCAAATCATTCATGGTGGGACCCACTTCCACATCATTAGTGATAGCACTAATTAGTGCTCTCAGTCATTTTCCTTCCTACATGAAAGTGCCTTGTTCCCATTTTAAAACAATTTTTTCCCCAAGTTTGATGTAGTTATCTAAAAGGTACGGACGGTCTCCAATTTAAATTTGAGACCGTCCAATCTAATTTGTTCTATTGTGGTTAATTTTAGACATTTTTTTTAGGTAATTCAAACTATTTATATTTTAAAATTTTTTGAATATATTATTTTTATAAAAAATTATATTGATCGTATAACAGATATTATGTATTTGGATCACTTTTATCGTGTGTGTTTGGTTTGAATTTTTTGGATTAAATTTTTTAGATTAAATTTTTTGAAAATTGAGTTTTTTATTTTTCATGTTTTTTTTTGTTTTTAGTAAATATTTTTAAAATTTTAAGTATTTTTTTTTACTTTTTTTAGATGCATCTTACTTAGATATATCTAAACAGTAAAAAATTTGTAAAAAAATATTTTAAAAAATTAATAAATACATAAAAATATGAAAAATATACTGAATTCTTGTATTTTTGGTATTTAATAAATTTTTTCAAGAATTTTTTTCACAAAAATTATTCTTTTTATGTGTATTTATGTTAAGTTGTCTAAAAATTAAAAAAATTACTTAAAATATTACAAAATTCAGTAAAAACAAAAAATAAAGAAAACAAGAAATCAAAATTTTCTAAAAAGTATTTTTGAAAAATAAAAAACAAGCAAAGTGAACGGTTCAAAAAAAATTAACCAAATACATAGTATCCATTATCTAATCGACGTGATTTTTACAAAAATAATGTACTCAACAAATTCTAAAATGTAAACGATTCAAATTATTAAAAATGAGTCCAAAAATGAGGTCAATAGACCGGACTGAAACCATCAGTCCAAATGGACTGGAGGCAAGCCATTACCTTATCTAAAATGTGCCTGCCAATCAAAACCTAGCTTAGAACAATAACTAACTTTAAAATAAAAAATAAGAAATTTTGAAATATGTTTTCCAAAATTTTATATATTTATCTCATAAGTGGTGTTTAGCGGATATTTCGATCCGTCTAAATCAATCGAACTAAACTGATCTACCGCATTTTAAACAGATGTGTGATGACGAGCGGATTATTGCAGATTGATTTTGTTTTAATCTGTCTAGTTTTAAACAGATGGTGGATCTGAGATTCTTTTAGCCGCAACCGAACCGCCAAATTGCGAGCACCCATAGTAATTTGTAAGACTTTGTGCTTTCAATTTGTTTAGATATTTTATTTGTATTTTCAAATGAAAAAAAGTTTAGATATTCTATTATGTTTTCAAGTTGGAAATCTTTTTATCAAATAGCAAATGTTAATATTTGGTATTTTTTTGTAGAAAATCTAAGACTTAATTTTGTAAAAAAGTAATGAAATAGTTTTGATAATGTATGGCTTTTTTTATATGTATTTATTATTGATATTTGACAATTTAGTTGATAATTTTTTGGTTATGTTGAGTTGGATTATTCGCATCCATCCACCAATCTACTTAATCCGCATTTGCCAATTCAGCGGACAAATGTAAATTGGAAGTTCTCTAGCCAAAACCAAACCGTGAGCACATCACACAACATCAATACCTTTTCTCCTTATTTTTTTTATTATTTTTTTAGAGGCACATCACACAACACTTTGTCCCCCTAAAGTTTCACTTACTCCTCAGTTTGGCCCTTTAAGTTTGATTTTTCTTACTTTGACTCTTTATGTTTGCAATCCTTCTCATTTTGACTCTTTAAGTTTGATTTTGCCCACTTTGACCCTTTATGTTTGTAATTCTTCCCACTTTGGCCCTTCATATTTGCAATCCTTTCTACTTTACTCCTAGACTAACTTTCATTCAAAAAAACTAACATAATCTGCCACATTACCAACATATCAGCTCTATGTGTAATGTAAAAAATTCACTAAATATGCAAAAAATAAAAAATAGAAAACAAAAAAAAATCAGAATTTTTATTTAATCTTTAATGAACTTTTTTTTAAAAAAAATTTATTCATAAATATTATTACATTTTAGATGCATATGGATTAGATGCACCTAAAAAAAACAAATTTAACTAAAAATAGAAAAAAGTTTACTAAAGAGGAAAAAAAATAAAAATATATTGACTCAAAAACCTGTGTTGTCAATTCTGAAATGAAAAATTTATTATCAATTTTTTTTTTGTCTTTAGTGAACTTTTTTTTTTAAATTAAATTTGTTTTTATATAATGTAATAATATTTATGAATAAATTTGAAAAAAAATCACTAAAGACTAAAAAAAATTTCAAATTTTTTGTCTTATATTTTTCATTTTTTTGCATCTTTAGTGAATATTTTATATTACACGTGGAGCTGATATGTTGGTAATGTGACAAATTTTATTAATTTTTTGGATGAAAGTGACTAGGAGTAAAGTAAGAAAGATTGCAAACATAAATGGTTAAAATGGAAAAGATTGCAAACATGAAGGGTCAAATGGGAGAAATATCAAACTTAAAGGACCAAAGTGGGAAGAACTGCAAATATAAAGGACCAAAATGAGAGATTATAAATATGAAAGGCCAAAATAAAATAAAAAAAAAATTAAACTTAAAAGACTGAAATAAAAAGTAGATAAAACTTTAAAGGGGTAAATTGTAATTTACCCTAGATATTTTAACTTTTTAACCATTAACAAAAAAAAAAAAAAAGCAAATACTCGGAGCAATGTTAATGATTGACTGACAATTACTAACTTCTTCTGATTTAAAATTTTTCTTAAAAAAACGACTGCCTAAAATTAAATAAATGCAGGTTTTGATTGTAAAATTTTGAGTTTATTATACTTTCTATTATTAAATTATTACCAAATTATCTACTAATTTTTAACCATTGATAGAATTTATTAAGTATTTAAACTATATAAATTAAAAGTTATTTCATTCTTAAACTATCAATTGACTATTAAGGTCATGTTTATCAATTATACAATTTAGTTAAAAAGTTACTATAAACTTTCATATCACTCTCTTTATTTTTTGTACATATTTTTGCAAAAAGTCAAAAATTTATTAAAATAGCATATTTCCAAACAAGGCCTAAGAGCATCCACAGTGAGATGACTAAAAAAGTATGTTAAGGTGTTTTATATGACAAAAAGTGATATAAGTGGGGCCAAAAAATGTGTATTAAGAGTTTGTTAATTTTAGAGAGTGGGTAATGGTGCAATGGATGTGTTAAGGGGTGTGCGTTAAAAATATATATATATATATATATGTATATAATAAAGCAGGATGATTTTTGAAGAATAATCTTTCGTAGCTCAAATCAGCCTTCCCCGAATTCCCCGACTGCCCAAAACGACGTCGTTTTGGGTATTTTTTTTTTCCTCCTTATGTCTGAAACAAAGAGAGCAGAGAGAAGAGAGAAGAAGAGGAAGATGGAGAGAAAGAGAAAAAGAAAGAGAGAAAGAGAAGAGAGGGGAAGAGGGAATCGCCTCTGCCTCCACCTTCGCCTCCGATTTTTTTTTTCAGCCCTTTTTTTTTCAGATCGATCTGAAAATGTGGATCTGAAAATATCTTGACGATGATGATGGTGATGTTGATGAAGGTGTTGTTGTTTGATGATGAAGATGTTCTGGATCTAAAGATGAATGGTTGATTTTTTTTTTTTTTTTTTTTTGGATCTGAAGATGAATGGTTGTTAATGAAGATCTGAAGATGAATGGCTTGTTGGGTGGTTTTTTTTTTTTTTCTCTCTCTCTCTCTGTTACTCTTCTTTTTTCTTCTTCCTCATTTTTTTTTCTTCTGCGTTATTGAAAAAAAAAATTCAAAATGACGAAATGACGTCGCTTTCAATTCGAGCCAAATTCGAGCTCGAAAAGTTTGAGCTACGTAGCATAACTGGTTTTTGAATTTGTCCTATACACATTTATCCTACTAGAACATTTGGATGGCTTAGATCTATGCAAATTATAAAACATCGGCTGAGATATATTTTTCAAAAAATATCCTACATGTACATTTTCTATTTTCCCGCTTCTCTCTCTTACTTTTTCCTTTTCTCACCCATCCTTCTATGATCCCATGAACTCACCTTCCTCTCTCTTTTATTCTTATTTTTTTTATTTTCTCCCATTTTTATTTTTCTCTCTATTTGTATATATATATATATATATATATATTTTTGTTCACTTATTTTTATTTATATTATGTAGAAAAGTCTGCGATTCCAGAATTAGGAGCCAGATATTACTGTGTGTAGTGGAGATTAAATTAACGAATTTTATAGTCCACAAATTGAATGAATTTGAACAATTAATTATTATTTTTAAATATATTGAATACCAGATAGACTACATAAATTTAAATCTCATATGAATCTTTAACATATATTTTAATAAAGTATAATGGTTTTTGAATCTTCAACTTATTTTTGTCCTATTAGGACATTTGGAAGGCTCAAATCTGTTCAAATTATAAAACAATAGCTGAGATATATTTTCAAAAAAATGTCCTACATATACATTTTCTACTTTCCCGTTTCTCTCTCTCTCTCTCTCTCTCTCTCTCTCTTATTTTTTTCTTTTCTCACCTATCCTTCCATGATCCAATGATCCCACATTCCTTTCTCTTTTCTTTTTATTTTTTTTTATTTACTCCCGTTTTTTTTTCTCTCTATTTATTTTTTTTTTATTTTTCCCTTTTTGTTCAATATATTTTACACTTATTTCCATACAATGTTTGTATGCCCGTATAATTATATAAGCAAAAATAATATTGTATGTATGCCAGGCACATCTATCTATCTACCTATATATTTGGCCCGTTTGGTAGAGTTGTGGGAAAGTGATTATAACTTATAGCCTAACAGCTTATAACTTATAACTGTGAACATAAGCTGATTTTTGACTTATAAATTAAGCTTTTCCTCCCCCACTCAAAGAATAAGTTGATTTTTGACTTACAAAAAGTTATAAGCTGTATTGTCAAGCTGAACCAAACACATCAAAATAGCTTAAATTAAGCTAAAAGCTGAAATAAGTTGAAAATAAGTCCTACCAAACAGAGCTATTATATAAAGCAAAAGCGAGTTTTCGTGACGAGATTTGTGAGAACTCCAAAATTTTATAATAAATTTGTGATTTTATCAAATTAAAAAATAAATTTAAATAGTGTTGAGATTATAATTATATTTTAATCCTAACATTATTTAGACCGTGCCTTCAGGCACAGGCATACGTTAGTATGTATATATAATAAATAAAATAAATAAATAATTTAATTTAATCAAAAATTTTAAGCCCAAAATTAAATTTCAAGCCCAAAAAAAAAAAAATCCCAACAAGTAAAAAAAAATTAAAAACAAAAAATTCAGTTGACTGCCGGTTGACTACTCGGACGTCCGATTGATCGATTAGTCAAACTCTTTTTTTTTTTCTTTCTTCAAGGGTCCAGATGTCTGGGGTGGACTTTTGGCTGGACGTCCGGGGTGACTTTTGGACGGACGTCAGGAAAAACTTCCCCAGGCACACATTTCTCTCTTCATTCGCTAGCTAAAACGTTGGCCGCAATTAACACATAAGTTAGCAGCTGACACTAACACACTCACTAAGAGCATCCACAATGGATGGCTAAAAAAGTGTGTTAAGGTGTGTTATGTGACAAAAAGTAATAAAGGTGGGGCCCAAAAATATGTGTTAAGAGTTTGTTAATTTTAGAGAGTGAGTGGTGGTACAATGGAAGTGTTAAGGAGTGTATTAAGAATATATATGTATATATAATAAAAAAATAAATAAATAATTTAATTTAATCAAAAATTTCAAGCCCAAAAAAATTTTCCCAACAAGTAAAAAAAAAAAAATTCCAGTTAACCGCCAGACCCAAATTATTTATTTATTTATTTATTTTCCATTTCTTGAAGGGTCCGGACGTCCGGGGTGGACTTTCGGCGGGACGTCCAGGGAGACTTCCGGCCAGACGTCCGAGAGGACTTCCCTAGACACATCTCCCTCTCCCTTCACTAGCTAAAACGTTGGCCATAGTTAACACACAAGTTAATAGTTGACACTAACATACAACACTAACACACCTAACAACACTAACACACCTAACAACACTAACACACCCATTGCAGCACCCGACAGTGTTTTTGACTAGCCAAAAAACTAACACCTGACACTGACACACTCACTAACGTATCCATTGTGGATGCTCTAACACACCCATTGTAGCACCCAACAATGTTTTTGGCGGGACAAAAACTAACACCTGATACTAACACAATCACTAACGCATCCATTGTGGATGCTCTAAGTTCCTAAAATATTTAATTCAAACCTATTTAAACCCTAAAAAGATTATAAAAATAAAATCTATTTCCATAAGTATTATAAATTAGTAAAACACTTGCCCAATTAATATTTTATTATACAAAAATCTTAAATTTTTATTTTGTCGGTAACAAGTGTTTTTATTTTCTTATGTTTTTAAATTAATATTAGAGTCTAGCTTCTTAATCTTGTCAATAAATTATATAAATTTTAGATATATTGAAGAAGTAGAATTAGATAATTTAAATGATAACACTTCATTAGAAATAATAATAGAACAAAATAATACAATAATTAAGTAATATAAAAAAACTTAGCGAAAAGTTTAAAAACAGTCAATTAGAAATTATAAACAAAATCTGGAAAGGAAATTTAAGAATAATTACCCCACCGTTATAAAGGAAATTTATTTTTGTAATCCTATTAAGGACTAAATAAATTTGAATTAAATACTTTAGGGATTTAATCGATTCAATTGATAGTTTAGAGACCAAATAAACTTTGATTTTATATATTTAGGGATCTAATAGACACAATGTGGATCCCATTATTGATGTGATGAACTAAATAAATAATTATGAACCAAATAAATAATTTGAAAAATAATTTAGTAGTATAAATGTAATAAATCCTAAATTTTTTGTGAAAAATGCTTCAAGCCACTAATTGAAGACTACTAATGATGTGGCACACCATGTGAATCCCATCACTGATATGATAGTTTGGCCTTTGTTTATTTGTTTGTTTGTTTGTTTTTTTTTTTTGTACTGTCAACTCATTAGAACTGGCATTAGTGCTACCAATTTAGAGCACTGAATCAGTGTTGAATTTTTGTATGTCTATCAAGAAATTTCAAACAAATATGATTTATTTCTCTATTTGCCAAGACATACCTAACATTATTGTTAGAACGTCTCATGAGAGCAACTCCAACCACACTCTCTACTTTTCACTAGTTAAAATACGAAAAAAGTACACTTTTTATTTTACCTAATTACTTTTAGCTAATCATTCAAACTAATTTAATTAATTTTTAAAACCAAAAATACTAATTGTTGATATTTTACTAATGTAAATTTGCAATAATAATAAATTTGCCCATACAAGCATACAAAACCTGTAAAATGAGGAGAAAAAAAATACAAAATAAGCTATTCCGTAATTCATTAAATAGAATTGAAAGAACATATAAATTTGCTACATAGTACATACATATATACATATATAAAATATATAAAATCTCAAATCCAAGACATAAATATACAAAAATCCAAAACATATACATACATTAATTTGGAGAGCCTATGGGACTCTTTAATTGTAGCTAGTAAAAAGGTAGGATGATAAAGTAGTTATCCCAATAACCAGCCCATTGGAGCCCAAAATTAGAGTTACATTGACTAAAATACCTAACAAACTTTTTTTAGCTATCCCCTTAGAGATGCTCTGAGATACCTTAAAGTGGTGGTTGTTAATTATATTTTATTTTTGAAACAAGGGTTTAAAATTTGAGTGTGCTTATACAATTTTTTTTTATTTAATTTAATTTAATTTATTTTTCATGGTTGTGATATCTACTCTAAAATGAATTTTCACCACATACAAGGTTCTTAAATTAGGCATTTTTATCTAATGGTTAAACTGTTTTTTTGGGCTATCATCATTGCATGCAATCCTTTTCTGGGATCCAAAAAAATTAAAACTATTTCCTCCATTGCTTATTCTCTCACTCAAATCAAATCCCCTTTTCAATAATTTCATGCATCTTTCAAGTCCACTGCAATTTTAGCAAAAATCAAGGAGCCAATCTAGCATGATAAACCATATCCTGAGATTTTTCAATCTTCATTCCTTCATGCAATTCAACACAATCACTACTATGGTCAAGAGTCAAAATTTAATTTCTTACCCAGAAAATTATTAGTAGATGAAAAAAACAAAAATAGTGAAAATCATACAATGAATGCTCCTCCTCCACGGGAAGACGGCGGCGGCGGCGAGGCCAAAAATGACGAAGAAGCCGACTATCTCTTGTCTGAACCACCGTCGCCGCCGGCACCCAGAGGCAGAATCTTCCCCGTCGACGTGGAGGCGAGCGGCGGGGGCGACGACGACGGCGACCTGGTGGCGCCGCCGTTCACGTGGAAGAAGATGTGGGAGTTCACGGGTCCTGGGCTGCTGATGTGCACAGCGTTCCTGGATCCGGGGAACATCGAGGGGGATCTGCAGGCGGGGGCGATCGCGGGGTACTCATTGTTGTGGCTGATGATGTGGGCGACGGCGGTGGGGTTGTTGATACAGCTGTTGTCGGCGAGGTTGGGGGTGGCGACGGGGAGGCACTTGGCGGAGCTGTGTAGGGAGGAGTATCCGTATTGGGCGAGGATGTTGTTGTGGTTGACGACGGAGGTGGCGTTGATTGGGGCTGATATTCAGGAGGTGATTGGGAGTGCAATTGCTATCAAGATTCTCAGCAATGGGTTTTTCCCTCTTTGGGCTGGTGTTCTCATTACTGCTTGTGACTGGTAAATTTTGTTCATGGTTCTTCAGTTTCCGAGTTGGTTTTGATTGTCCTCTGTTTGTTTGCTGAGAAAACTAGCTACTCCAATGCCTGCCAAAATTTTGAAGGGAATGGCTTCCCTCCAGTCCAATCACGGACTGGGGGTAGTGTTATGCCCGTGGGGGGTTCACAATCTGTTTAGCACTATATATTTGTAAAAAATCACGTTGATCGAATATCGATAGCTATGTGATCAAATAAGTTTTGTATGAAAAAAATGGACAGTGAAAAATAAACGGGTTACAAAAATCTGATTTGATCACATAGTTATCGATATATGATTGACGTAATTTTTTTATAGATATATAGTATTCAACGAGTTCTACACATTGAACAGTTTGAATTATTTAAATGGGACCTGTAGTAGACCTCACGGGCTCAATAGTACCCTCCAGTCCAATCACAGATCGAAGGGAAGCCATTCCCAATTTTGAATTAGCTCAAAAAATTTCCATTGCCTATAGCTGTGTTTATAAATTTGGACAAACTTCACTTTATCCCTTATTTAGGCCATGTCCGATTTATTTTGTTAACGTTTGGAAATGATCATATAACTCTCACTAGATTTGTGGGTTGAAATATACCGTTAAATACCATTAAATGTTCCATCTAACGGAACAGCAAGTGTAAAACATGTGGCAAACATAAGGGGTTATTGCTCATTTTTAAATTTTAATGGAGTAAATCGCACATGAAATAAAACCCAGGAGGTTAAAGTGTACTTTATCTTTCAAACAAATGATGAAAATACAAGAATATTTTAGTATTTTTTATTAAATCGTTAACGATAACCGCACATTTCAATTTACAAATAGGATTATATAGTCGTTTCTAAACATTAGAAGAGTAAACGGCATACAGCTCAAATCATAAGGGTAAACTGAAATTCACCCTATAAATTTTTTATAATGAGACCTAAAATGTAGCTTTTAGTCTATAATTTTATTTTATTCTTTGTAATAGGACCCACAAGAAATGTTATTGCATGAAAAAATGAAAGAAGAAATGACAAATGCATCATTGGTATAGAATTGTTGATAATATTTTAGTACTGTCAAAAAATTACAATCACCATTATAGTTGCTCTTAGGAATGCTGTGTGTTTGAAACCTGAAAGGTAGTCTCGTTTAGAAATATATTTTTTTAGTAACCTTTTGGCTTTTTGTTTAAAACACGATATAAAAAAAATTATTATGTTTGGAATGACTTTTTGATTTTTTACAAAAAAATATACAAAAAGTAAAAAGAAAAAAGAATTTTTGACTCTTTGATATGCGTTATTGGCTTTTTGATTTTTTTAATAATTTTTTAGCTTTTAAGTTAAAACGTGATGTTGCCAAACGATTGACACATAATTTATCTGTGAGTGTGATAGTGATCGAATTTAAAATACCATTTGATGTGTAAGTTAGTTAATGAGCTTATTTTCCATGTCCTGTACCAATGTAGATTAAGCAGCTAATGGTTTTCAAAATTTAATATTAAAATTCGATCGCCATAACATTATTGCTTTTGAATTTGTCTTTCTTGCATGTATAACACAATGTTGACAAATTATTTATCAAATTTCATACTTTTTTGGACACTACAATTATCAGCCAATGAAGAAGATTTTTGTCCGACTTTCAACTCAGGATTTCACCATGTTAAATTTGAATTATGATATGAATCATTCTCTTGTCATTTCATTACAGAAACTACAGATTACAAAACAGCAACATTCATTCTTTGATTGTAGGAATGATTAAAAAAAAAAAAAAATCATATGCTTCATTTATCTAAGTTGCTTTCTCTTTAATTTTCTTTTTCTTTTTTGTAATTAATATTGGAAATGAAACTCAATCTGTCAAGCATTGTTTTGTTTCACTCAATGTGAACAGTTTCTTATTTTTATTTCTTGAGAACTACGGAGTGAGGAAATTAGAAGTGTTTTTTGCTGTTCTTATTTCAATGATGGCCATTTCATTTGCGTGGATGTTTGTTGACACAAAGCCCAGTGGAAAGGATCTACTAAGAGGTCAGAAAGTTGTATTTGGCTTCGATTTTTCATTCATTGATTTCATGCTGTATATTTTAGTTGCATCCCCCAATAATGCAATCTCCATTTGCAGGTCTTTTGGTTCCCAAACTTAGCTCAAAAACAATACAACAGGCTGTGGGAATTGTGGGTTGTGTCATTACACCTCACAACGTGTTTTTGCATTCTGCTTTGGTACAGTCGAGGAAAATTGACCCTAACAAGATTGGTCGCGTCCAAGAGGCTCTCAATTACTACTCAATTGAATCCTCGGTTTCCCTTTTTGTCTCCTTCGTGATCAACTTGTTTGTCACATCTGTCTTTGCTGTGGGATTCTATGGTTCTAAACGAGCTGATAGCGTAGGACTAGGAAATGCAGGGCAGTATCTTCAAGAAAAGTATGGTGAAGGATTGTTACCAATTCTTTATATTTGGGGCATTGGGTTATTGGTGGCTGGACAAAGCAGCACAATAACCGGCACTTATGCTGGACAGTTTATTATGGGAGGTTTCCTTAACCTTCGCTTAAAAAAATGGCTGAGGTCATTGATATCACGGAGTTGTGCAATTGTGCCAACTATAATTGTAGCTCTTCTTTTTAAGAGATCAGAAGATTCACTTGATGTTCTGAATGAATGGCTTAATGTGCTTCAGTCTATGCAAATTCCTTTTGCACTTATCCCTCTTTTTACCTTGGTGTCCAATGAGCAGATCATGGGGGTCTTCAAAATTGGACCAGCTATGGAGGTAACATGCTAATTTCACTAAGCTGGTGTTCCAATGCATAATAGTTATTGTATTTGCTGCCTGACCCTCTAGAGCCTAGTGCTTTTGGATTTGTAATAACAAGCCCCTAAGCTTAATATGAAGAGAAAGAGAACCCTGAGTTGATTATTACCCATTTGTCTGTTGTTGGTGTTTACTACAGGTAGTTGGATCTGTGTGTCTAACACCGTGTTCCTGACTCATGTTGCAGTTGCTTAATATGATCATAACATCATCATCATGTCCTAGTCCCAAACTGAATAATCATTTCATATGCATGGTTGTTAAAATGTGTAATTCGTGATTCGACGCAACTTTCAACTAAAATGCTTTGAATCATGCTGTTGAATAAAAAATTGTGTGAATCATGCGATTCAATTTGTGGTTCACTATGAATCATTATGTCCTAGTCCCTAACTGATTAATCATCTGATAAGTTATTTTATATCCCCAAGGATAATATCGCCAGGTGCTAATATTTAGTATGCTTCTACAGATCATGCTTAGGCTTCATTTATAGCATATTATACTACCATATCTGTCTTAGGTGTACATTTGATTTCCAGGCATTAGTAAACTGTGGCACTTGTGACTTGTGAGTTCATAATCCTGTTCTTCCTCTTTAAATTGTCTTTTTCTAATTTCTTTGTATTATGGTTGTAAAAACTGAGGTCATTATCTAAGATATTGGCTAAATTCCTGCCAAATGGTGGGAAACAACTACGTACGTACTATTCTTTTTTCCTTATACTTTTTGTTGATTTGTGTGGTAGAGGGTCGTGTGGACCATCGCTTCCCTGGTGATAGCGATCAACGGGTATGTTTTGCTGGATTTTTTCGTTTCCGAGGTTAATGGACTATTGTTTGGTTTTCTGGCCTGCATGGGGACTGCTGCGTATGTGGCGTTTATTTTATATCTTATCTCATATGGCGGTGGCCTGCGTTCCTCCTGGTTTAGCTTACTACACTTAGATGGATATCAGTATGCCAAGAACTAAGCCAACAAATTTTCATTTAGGATTGAAGAGGCTCCCAATTCTTGCCAAACAGCACACAGGCTCTTCATCTGGTGTTTCGGAAAAGAAGCGTTCGGTTGCCACAATTTTTTCTAATTACAGTGCATTAATATAGATCCAGAAGCCGATTGTAAAAGTTTCACTGTGATGTGTTTGGTTTGAAGTAGATGTGGAATGAACTGGTTAGTTCTTCATACACTGTAACAAGTAGGTATGTCTGATGTAGTAGCCAAACAGAAATAGTTAATATACTCAGAAGGGATTCTGATGAAATGGATTTTACAATGTTGTTGTCCCAAAAACCTGTTTAGCCTTCTCTCTCTCTCTCTCTCTCTCACTCTCTCAATAGTTATTTATATTTTTTTGCCTTGGTATCTTCATTACTTGTCTCAAACTTTTATATGATCAAATAATTGAAAAGTGAATTATCAATATAGAGAGAGAGAGAGAGAGATTTTTAGGACATAAAATTCTCCTTCTTATTTTGTTAGTACTTTAATAAGTAGGTTGTACCAATTTTCTTTTATGGTGGAAGTCTCATTCTTCAAACCATTTTGTTTGTCTAATATGTCATAAAAATACTTTAGCGTTTTGATCACGCAAAGTCTAATTTTCCATTGTTATACGCACTATTTAATTTTCTTCGCTTTCATTTTATTTATCATGTGACGCTTTAAACTTTCTTTTTTAAATTTCTCTCTTTTCTTTTCCTCTTCACAATTTTAAAATCCAACCTAACTTTAAAAACTTGGTTCCAAATGTGTGATCCATACACAAATAACACGAACCAGGTCTTTGAAGATGGCCAGGTCTGCGAACTATTTGATTTAAAGTAGCTGTTAGGAACAATCTTTAGACATTTTTTTGTGTTAAAGAAAAGATACAGAATGCCAAAGAAGGAAGCAGTACGAAAAAGGTAGAAACAAAAGAAGTAGCTGACATGACTAGCATAGCCCACTTCTATGCTTACTTCTGTGCTAAATGAGAATTGAACTACAGTCAACAAGTCATTAGAACATCTTTTATTTCAAATTTGAGAGATATTAAATAATACATTATTAAAATTTATGAAAAAATTACAAATTAGGAGAACACTGAAAAAATAATTGTACTATAAATTAAATCTTTTATGATATAACTCTTACACACACAAATAATTTGTACAAAGCCCAACCAGGACTTACACCATGCATATGAAAATATAAATATTTTTTCACTGTTCCACTAATTTGTAATTTCTTCAAAATTTAAAAGCAAGAACTACTAATTTATTTCTCCACACGAAAGCAATAAGAATGGCAAATGCAATTGAAAATAATATTATGTTAATATTACGTTAATCCAATTTTATTATTAATATATCAATAATGCTAAAATAGTGCATCAACGGATCAAAATAACTTTAAACGTGACTCACATTCTATCAACTTTAAATTGACACAATTCATCTTATCTTTTTGATAACTTTCAAAGTAAATTTTCATAATTCATAATATTTTTCTTAATATAATAATGATACATCAGACAGTATTCAAAATTTATACTCAAATAGTGTTCAAATTTGACTATTATTATTAAATAAAAATGACAAATATTTACAAGCAATCCTAGAGCATTATTTAGTATTGAAATTAAGATAAAAATATTTGTAAAATAAGTATAAAAAAAAGGTTCAGAATAAATCTCCCTTTAAAGAATATCAAAGACTTTAATTTAATTTAATCTTGTTCTTTTTTGCAATATTTACAAAAGTCTTATTGGCTTATTTACTTGTTTGAATCATGTTACCTCTCTACATTTTTACACAAATCAACTTATAAACCATACTTAAAACAATCTTAAATAGTAATTTTTTTGAGTAAATTAGAAACGCACCCTTTGAGATTTGCTTAAAGTACAAATTACCTCCGATGGTTTGAAAAATTACAAATACCTCATTGTTAGTATTTTTTATTTAACAGAATTAACTAAAAAAATAAAATTCATAATTACTCTCCTATAAATAATAAAATTACCTAAATTATTAATTAAAATATATTTTTAACATCATTAAAAACTATTAATTGATTTAATAATTCATTAATAAATGGGGCGATTTGTTATGAAATTAAAAATTTCAGGAAATGGAATGTAATTTTCAAAATTACGGGAGGTGATTTGTATTTTAATAAAATCTCAAAAGGTGTATTTATAATTAATTTTTTTTTAAATTATTTATAAGTATGTACTATAAAAAATTAATCAGCTTGCTTGGTTGTGTTTTTTCAAAAACACTTTTCAGAAAATTCTACTTTCTTGTTTTTCGTATTTTTTTATTTTTACTGAATTTTTTTAATATTTTAAGCAATTTTTTTTTTACTTTTTAGATACCTAACATAAATATACCTAAAAGGTAAAAAATTTGTGAAAAAATCTTTTAAAAATTTATTAAATACGAAAAATACAAAAAAAAATACGAGAATTTAATATATTTTTTATGTTTTTATGTATTTATTAAATTTTTAAAATATTTTTTACTTTTTAGATATATTTAAGTAAGATGCATTTAAAAAAATATAAAAAATGTTTAAAATTTTAAAATATTCACTAAAAATAAAAAAATACGAAAACTTAAAAATTAAATTTTTTAAAAATTTAATTCAAAAAACTCAAACCAAACACTGAATGTTATTAATTACTAAGAGACTTTAAAAATAAAATAAAAAAATTAAAAAAAAAGGGCAATAATGGGAAAGACTGAAACGGCTGGTTGATAAGTGTAACCTTAACCTAAGCGTTGTCCCGTCAAAATTTCTATAAACTGCATGCAGCCTATCAACTCCCTCTCTCTCACCCCCACTCTCTCTTCAGTCCAAGTTCCCTTTCTGTATCCATCTCTTTCATCTATATCTCTCTATATGTATATACATATATCTCCTACCCCCAATCACTTTATTTTCAATCTCAACAATCAAAATGCCAAATAAAATCATTACTTCCCATCAAAAAACCCTATCAAAACCCATCAATCGCCGCGCTCTCTCTCTCCTCCACCACCATTCTTTCTCTATCTAAAATCCTTGGCTAAAAAGATGCAGAACCCACGCCGAAATCAATCTCCGTCTTCTGACCCAAACCCACAAAGTCGTTTTGTGGGTCAATCCGATGCTTTTTCTAACCTATTCCTAGACGATGCTTTTTCTCAACTCGGCCTCTCCTCCTCCTCCTCCTCCTCCGCCGCCGTGTCTCGCGGCCAACCGTCTCTTTTTCCGGCGAGTCTCGACGACCCAGAGTCTTATTATTCGATTGTCAACGAGGGTTTGTCTTCTCTTTCGTTTCAGTCCAATGACGAGTTGGAGAGGTTGATGATGCTTCAGAAGGTTGGGAATGGCGGCGATATGGGTTTCGGTGGGACCCACAGGAATCCGACGGCGGCGACTGGTTCGTATCGGACGGCTGCGAGGGAGCCATGGCGCACAGATGATGGGGTGAATTCGCTTTCTTGGTTTTCTCGAGAGAATAATGGGTTTTTCTTGCAGCGCAAGAAACAATTGGGAAAGCTACTCAATTCTCAGTTCCCAATTTTGCCCTGTTCTAACAGACCCAGTTTCTTCACTGATTTTGATCAGCGTTTTGATGGTTATGCTTCTGATAGTTCAAGTGTTTTGATGCCCAATTTGTATACTCAGATTTCGCATCAATCGCCCCAGTATCTGGATTACTTGTCTTCGGAAGATTTGCGGAGACATGTAATTACTTTGGCGAAAGATCAACACGGGTGTAGATTACTGCAAAAAAAGTTTGAGGACCCAAAAGAGGAAGAAATTGAGGCCCTCTTGTCCGAGGTGATAGACCATGTAGGGGAGTTAATGCGGGATCAATTTGGGAATTACCTTATTCAGAAGCTTGTGAAGGTCTGCAATGAAAAACAGAGGACTCGCATTATTCTCTCTGTCACCAAGTCTCAATTTCAACTCATCAGTATTTGTCTCAGCCCGCACGGGTATGGTTTTGGTTGTTCATTCATTCTTAATTAAATTTTTTAATATTTATATTCTCAACACGGCCCTTCATGTAACCCCCCTTATGTCTTGTGTGGAGTGAGGCTTGAGGCTTCTCGAGGCTCTTTCTTAAGTGGGCTAAACACGGGTAAACATTTTAATTATGGGGGACATAGTGGGGTTCAAATACAGGACTGTTATGTACCATGTTAAATTGTTAATGTGTTTCAGCAGTTAGAGAGAGGGATAATGTTATTATTTATATTGGTATTCTTCTTGTTCTAGAACTCGAGCTGCACAGAGGTTGTTGGAGCATATTACTAGCCAACAGCAAATTTCATTGGTTATTTCAGCTCTATGCCCTGGTGCAGTAGCATTGGCCACTGACCCCAATGGTTATCATGTGATCCAGCATTGCTTGGCAAATTTCTCTACTGAAGATAATAAGGTAATGTTCTTTCCTGTTTGTTGATTATGCACCTATAATACTTGTATAATGCTGAAATTTAAATGATACTATTACTCAGACACCTTCACATAGTTATATGTTTCAATTAATAATTGCTATTGTTTCATTTTGTTTGTAATTATTCAAGTTTCTTGTTGAAGTCCACCCTACCCTGTAATGATATTCTTTCGTGAAGCATGACAGGCACAAAAACTTTTACTCAGAATTGATGCCTTTCTAAAACTGTGTGTTGTGGATTTGTGTGCTCAAAACCAATCATGGAGTTCTGTAGTAGCTTTCTCAGCATACTCTTTTTAAGTTTAAATTATGTTGGTTTTTGCACTTAATTAGTTTGATTGTTCCCGGAGCTAAGAGAAGCTGCAATATGATCTTGAGCAGCGCCGAATCTTGGAAGGTTGGACTCCTGGCAGGTTTTTAATATCATCTTAGGTGATGTAAAGAAATTTCATTGGATTTGCTATAGAAACCCTTATGCACTGCAAGGCATCTAGTTTTTTCATCCCATAAGGCCATACAGTTTGTAGGTTTTTATCTTCATCATCACATTTCTGAATTATATTATTTGTATGCTTATTCTGTTATGGTTGACAACATGGTAAATGAGAAATCAGGACTAATATGTGCCTATTGTCCCATGAACTTATTCATACGATGAAGTCGAGTTTTGTGATTAGGTGCTTCACCATTTTGGATAATCTTTAAGACCTAATACTGCATTATGGATGAAGAATTTTGGTAACCATCTATTATATTTGAATCTGAAATAACTGTGGACATGATAATTATATATTTAATCTTCATCAGTTGTTTTCTTCTGTTTAAGCTTTAAGTTTCTGAAAGAATCTACTGCAAGTTTGGAACGAGCTATAAAGTATGTACATGTGCATGAATATAGGTTACTTTAGTTGTGTATGGAATGGTTTTTAGCTACTTCAATATAGTTTTCCACTGTTGCAAAAATTTTTTCTCAATAGAGTGGCTTGACTTTACTTTTTAAAAGAATTAAAAAAAAAGGTTGAGTTTTTCTTTTTCTCCTGTTTGGCTTTTGTTGGTGAACTTTAATGATTGTGTAAACTTGTGTGCAACATGTCCTATGATACAATTTTTTGGAATTTATGGTCTAATCCAAATTCTCGTAATTGTTGTCTTATAACTAAAGTTTTAAAAGGATTTACTGAGGCTGGCCTTGATGCTCCCCTTGCCTTCACGCATTAAGGTTTTGATTTTTAGGTTATACTCCCCAAAGTTTTGCGCATCACAATCTGAGGCATGCGCCTTAGGTGCGCTTTGTATGCCTTTGCACATAAGCATATGAGAAGCATGCATTTGAAAAGGTTTGTTTAGACATTTGTTAAACTTAGTCTAGTAAATAAATGGTTTAAACATAAAAGGAAAAAAATAAGAAAGAGCCCCTCGTTTGGGAACAGGCTAATTTAGTAACTTTTTGGCTATTTGGCTAAAAAGGTAGGTAAAAAAAACTTGTATGTTTGGGATGACTTTTTGGCTAATTACGAAAAGATGTGCAAAAAAGTAGAGAGAAAAGAGAATCTTTGACTTTTTGGTATGGGTTGTTGGCTTTTTGGCTAATTTAGTAACTTTTTGGCTAATTGGCTAAAATAGCCTCTTGCCAAACGAGTTAATGCTTAAGTGAGAAGCTCAATCACTAAAGCTAAGAATGTCAATTTCACTTTCAATGAAGGTAAGTTTCATTCTCTGCAGTGAGATGTTCAATGCCTTACGGAGAAAAGTATTTATACCTATATATTTATTTTTTATTTAGTTTTTTCATTATTTTAAAATATTTAATTTGTTTACTAAATATTAAAATTTTAAATTTTAAATGCTTGTGCCTCGACTCCTTAAGGCTTACGCCTCGCCTCATGAAAGGTAAAATGTCTCAAGTTACGTATTCGACTTTAAAAACATTGTTGATAACAACAATACTTATGAAACACGGGTACGAGTACTAGTATGATACGGGTACGTTGATATGATAAAATTTTAAAAACGTAGAGGACGAGTACGGCTTGGTACGCATGTAAAAAAATATTTATTTTTAATTTAGAGTAATGCAAAAATTGATTAAATAATTTAATTTGTTAAGATCCAACCTACAATTAACATTTAATGCCAAAAGTAAAGTATAAATCAAAATTAAATGTCAATATATTAAATAATTCACAAATCATAGCTTAATTTTAAAATCATACTAATCATACTAATCATAAAACTAAAAATAAAATTAAAAAAAAAGTCTAGTGAAAGAAATTTTATCTCTGTAATAGAAGAAAATATTCTTTCAATTGAGATACGGTACGGCTTGGGTTATACTAGGTATTTTTGGGTACGCCAAAAATTTAGGTACGTGTTTTGTGTATCCGGTACATATACAGAAGTATCATACACCGGTAAGCAAGGTTTTAAAAAGCAGCCGCAACCGTTACGTAACGCCGTTACGTAACGGTTTTGGCGGTTACCGCCACCCGTTACGGCCGCTTTTGCAGTGTGATTGAGATTCACAGGTGTGTCGGCTGTAGTGGCTGCCATAGCGGTCGTAACGGTGCCGTAACAGCTGTAACGGCTTGTTACGCACCGTTACGTAACGGTTCCAAACTGTTTCTTTCAAAAAAACACACAAAAAAATGTTGAAAATGGGAGAAGAGAGATAGAGAGAAGAGGGAAGATAAAGAGAAAATAGAGGAGCAAGAGATAGAGTGAGAGAGAGAGAAGAGGGAAGATGAAGAACATGTTATTGATTTGTTAAAACTATAAGACCTATGCTATTGTATTCAGCTGCTATCACTAAACCATTTTGTTTTGTGTGTCTATCTATATATTGTTTGAAAATAATAATAATAATATGTGTGGTCATTATCTATTTGGCTTGGTTAAAATATGTATATATATATATATATTTAGGCTCCTATTTATTCTCTTACTTTTGTTATTATTTATCTTATATATAATAGTTAGTGATTAATTTTTTGTAAAATATAAAGTCATTAATTATTAAAATAAAATGTAAAAAACTCAATTTATAGTACTTTAAAAATATGAAATATATTGTATCATACTTAAAAATTTATAAAAATTGATCAATATTTATTTTTAACCCAATAAATATGATCATGGAAAAAAAATATGCGTATCGGTAAGTTTTTTTCAAATTGTGCGAAAAATAAAAAAATTCACGGTTCCGGTTACAGCAACCGTTACACTACAACCTTTATACCCCACAACCACAACCGCGTCACCGCCACCGTTACGGCGACCGCAACCGCTTTTTAGAACCTTGCCGGTAAGTATCTGGTACGGGTACGGCTTGTTTTTCGAAATACCCATGCGTCATAGAACAATACAAACCAAGAGATTCGTTCCTGTGTACTTTGTCTTCAATTGTTTTCTACTTTGTGTTTTGTTCTGTCAGGATTACCTTTTAATAAAGGTATGTTTTGAATGGTCGTATGTTATGGTTGTAATTTGAACTCAAAGTTCAGATGTTGGCGATGCATTGTCATAAATAAATAAAAGATATCTTTCAATGGCGTATGGAGTAAATTAATAAAGTAACTAATCATTTGGATCTCTATCACTTTCTTTTGTTATCAACTGCAGTTCTTGAATTTGAAGTTTAGTAAACATCGAATGTCACACATTTTAGAAGAAAATAAAATAGGGAAAATGATACATGGTTTTTTGAAGTATTGGCTATGTAAAAGAGGTCAACAATAATTCAGTTTACTACTTTCTTATTTGCAATTACAAATGCTTTGTTTTCATGGTCCTTGTTTTTTGTAAATTGTAATGTATGATTCCTCACAATTTGATATTAGTAAACCTCTTTCTTGTTTTGAGCTAATTCTTCTTTAATACTGAGTTCATGATGCTTGGATCCGATGGGTAATCTTTCAAGAGTTTTACAGTTGCAAGCAAAGGTATGCATGTAAATAATGATTATTCAAGTGATATTTCATTCTACATGGTGAGCTTTCATATTCAAATGCCATTATGCAACTTTAAGGTTGTATCCAAGCTTTCCATGAAGTGTTATTGGTTTTGGAGTTCTGTTCTTTGTCGTACACATACAACATATTTCATACAATAATAGTGATTTGGCCATTTTTTGTGTTTTGAGGATTGCTACAGTGGTTGAATGATTACAAAGTCAGTTTGAAATGAAATGTAAAGCAGAAACAAGAATTAAGAAATGAATTCAAATGGACCTAGGTTTTGGGTTGTTGGATTCCTGCACTCGTGTTAGTAGTTGATGGAATCGCAAGTTTGTTTTCCTTCCATATCTCTTAATTTTGTCGCCTTTTTTTCTGCAGCAAAGCAGTCTATTTTATTCCATTCATTATGGAATACACTGAACATACTTGAACTGAGAGTCTATATGGCAACATGTATGCCATGCGTTCAATCCATATGGCATAAGAAAGTAAAAGTCGTCATTTGCGTTAGTCATTTAGTTGTGTTCATGATTATGTATTTCCTTGGTGAGGAAAAACAAACGATCTTTTTAGTTATGTTAGCAGAAAATGGAATCATGGAAACTAGTTTATCAGTGTGACCAATGAGCTTTATTTTTATTTTTTATTTAATAATTACATTTTTTACTGTTGATGAATGAGGGTTATTTCACAAGTACTTCCTACAAATTATCCCTTTCTTTCATTCCAGAGAACATTGCTTTTGTGTGCTATTTTTTCTTAAACCTATTTTCCAGTCTAAAAAGAGAGGAAATGATGACATTAAAGGAAACTACATAAAAAAAAACAGAAGAAGAAGAAGAAGAAGAAGGAAGAAAGAAAGAAAGAAAGAAAGAAAGAAAGAAAGAAAGGAAACATATTTGGAAAAACCATTTAAACAAATTGCTTTTGAGAAAATTTCCTTGAAATAACCCAATTTCAGGGAACTCTTGGGAATAGTTTTCTGACTTTTCAGAAATTAGGGTTCACAAGAAAGTGGAAACAATTTGAAGACGTGTTTTCTAACTCATACATTTTTGAATGTTCAAAAACTAAAAACTAAAATAAAAACGATTACAATGAAGCGATAAGAAAGATTCCCTTGTCTTTTTAAAAAATAAAAAATAAAGTAATTAATGCCTGGATCTTCCTGTGTTTTTCTCAGTATAGTAGTCAGTGTTCTCTTGAATGAGTTCAGGCGTTGGTATTCCCTTATTCAATAAGAAGCCTTAGAGAGTTTGGTTTCTGCTCTATGAGTTATTTAAAAACCGCATTGTCTTTGCAGTATCTTCTCAAAGTGATGGCAGATAACTGCTTCGAAATTGCAACCAACAAAAGTGGGTGCTGTGTGATGCAATCGTCTGTGGAGAACTCTCAGGGAGAATATAGAGAACGTCTTGTGTCTGAAATAATAGCAAATGCTCCTCACCTAGCAGAAGATCAATTCGGGTTTGTTTCTATAAAACCTTGTTCATGCTTTATTCCCAACCATACTCCAATGTAAAATTAACATGCTTTCCATTCTACTTTGCATGTAGCAACTATGTGGTGCAACAGTTACTGGGACTGAAGATACCTGAAGTCACCACTAACCTTCTGCGACAGCTTGAAGGGACTTATGTATCTCTGTCCCGCAATAAGTATGCTAGTAATGTTGTGGAGAAATGTTTGGCTGAATCAGGAGAAGAGCAATCCTCACGGATTATAATGGAGTTGCTCAGAAATCCAAATGTTTGTATGCTTCTAGTGGATCCTTTTGGAAACTTTGTCATTCAATCAGCATTATCAGTCTCTAAGGTAAGCTCATCCGATGAATCCTGATGTATATATTCCTCTTCTTTTCGTATGTGCCTAGGAAATTATTGGTTTTACATGAAACTAGCAAGGCTGAACCAAACTCATGAAGCGCTTTAGATGTTGGCTCTTGGAACTGATTGAGTATTTGGTTGCAAACATGTCTATCTATCTATTTATTTATCTATATTTGTGGTGACTTGAAATATGAGGTGACCAATTGCACTTGGTTAACAATTGGGCCAAAATCAACTTGGTTGAATGCCAGCTCCAGTTTTATGCGCAAGGGGCATTTGATACTTTATAGTACTGAGGTCATTTCAGCTTGTTTGGTTTCAGGCACTGAAATTAATAAATTAGAGTAAGACCATGACCAATAAAACAAATTACAAACGAATCCTTTCTTTAATCTTCCAATTTTTCAGTAGGAGAGGGAAAAAAAAAAAAAAAAAACAGGGTGACGGAAATCTAGGAAGAAGGATTTATTTGTGCCGTGTTTATGGGATTAAAAAAAGGTTGTTAGCTTTAGGATGAAACGATGTAGAAAAAAGGAATTAAGGTTTGTGCGCAAAAGGGATAGGATTGGATTAGGTTGGGTTTCCAGAGTGGCAGCTAACTGGATTTCAGAAACAGGGGGATGGAAATCTAGGGGTATCAGCTATGTCACAGTATATGGTGTGTGGAATCAATGGCCAAAGGGTGGATGAAGGGTTAAGGGTTGGTTTGAGCTAGATTGGAAACGGTGGACCGAAATTGGAACTACTATAGGGCTTAGTACCCTGAGAATAGTAATGAGTATTTTGCATGGAGAAGAAGGAAAAGTAAGAGAAGGTGAAGAAGAGTAACTTTCCTTCACAAGGGCCAAATAAGTTCATTAATACTCAAAATTAATATTCAACTCTATCTATTAAGGCTATTGCATCACTTATATAAGGCCTCCATTTTTGAATTTCTTATATATATATATATGATGCAATGGCCTTAACCTGTCAAAATCCGACCCAAACATAATTCATGCCCATGGATCTAAACTACAACCCAACCCAGTGACTATGAAAATTACCTAAATATCATTAGCTAAAACATACAAAGGAAGTCCAGCGGAGATACTAATTAAGACCCTAAATGCTACCATGGACTATATTTCCTTTGGTCCAAAAACTTTTCTTGTACAGTGAGGGGAATATAGGCTATATTTTTTGGCTTCCAAAGTGGAGATATCCTTTTCTGACTGGGCAATTTTGATGCACGAGATACATTGCCAAAAAGGTTTTCTTGCAAACATCATTTGGGACAAAACCATACTTTTCATAGGAAATGTAAAACATTAATTAATCAAAGGTCCAACTGATCACCACGTAATGTAAAAGAGAATGTCATGTCCTGATTTCCATATTATATGTGTTTAATTCAGGTGTTCCATCAAGATTTCTGTATAATTGAAAGGACTTCCATTAGGCTTCTCTCTGGCAGCAAATCAACCCAATCAGATGATTTCAGTCATCTTGGTTACAACTTTGATCTTGTAATTATCATGGATTATGCAAGTGTTTTTTTTTTTTTTTAAAATGATGATAAGTTGATTATAAGAAGTTTGGTTTCAGCTTTAAAATTTGTCTACATTGTTTGTTCATATGTAACCTAATTTTTATATTTTGCAAGAGCAGGGAGTTATCCGCAATGCTCTGGTTAATTTAGTCCGGATGAATGCTCCATCAATGCGCACCAATCTTTACGGGAAGAAGGTCCTTTCCTGGTTCAACAAGATGAAGCTGCAACACTTAGTAGAGCGTAGTTCTTTCGAAACTTTCTCAACTCCTCCTTGTTCCTAGTGTTTTGTCTCTTCACTAATATTTTAAGCCTTGGTAAGTTGTGTAACTGTCATTTTGTAACGCATAAGTATTTAGCACAGTTTTGGAAGAATTGTAGTTTGTTGTCGATAATTAGTCATTGGGAGTTTGGAATAATCTGTAGCTCTGCTTAGAAGCTTAGCATGATTTCTCAAACTGTATAATCTCAGGGCTTTCCACTGTTCGTTGTTATACCATAGACAATGTAAGATTGTTTATTGGCATTTGCTTCCAATTAGTAGTAATAATCTGCATATTATTTCTAAATTGAAGTATTTTTTAATCATTACTGAATAAACATTTATGGTTTACAATTACCAAAGTCCATCTATCATTACCGAGTAAGATTTTGTAAGGTAGTTCAGAACCATTTAACGTTTTGTTAATCTATATTTCTAGGACACTCGTTGATAAAAGTAGCCTTTGAATTCTATTTTCTTTAATTAGATCCCAAACTAGGATCAGAAGTCAAAAATATCTTTGTGCAGTTTGATTCTGCAAAGCGCATTGATTACTCGGAATTTTGAGTCCCGTCTGGTAATACATACCCCTTGCGGGGTTGCTTGGAAAATAATATGTGGGACTCTCAAAATTTGTGATTCCACAACCTCTAATTGATTTATTTATGATCACTTATTATTTATTTATTTATTTATTTATTTTGTTTTCCTCTCTACCTCTCTCCTTTCTCTCTCACAAATGTGTGTGAGGTCCTGGGTCCCTATCACAGTTGGTTTCTTGGATGGTTCCGTGTGGATGTGGTTGGTTAGGAAGCATCAAAAATTAACTTTGTTGCTGTTCAATTTTTGGATTTTCAAGGACCAAATGTGGATTTTTTATTATTCAAAAGTTTTAGGTTGCATTTGAATTATCGATTTGGGTAAAAATTTGAGTGAGGTAAATATGAATGAAATATATATATATATATATATATTTCTTTTTATTTTTTAAATTTCTGCGTAAATTCATAATTTAAATAGGGAGTCATTATTCCCATTATACTTTGCTCTAAACATACTCTCTTCTTTGTCTTTTATTAAACATTGATGGGCGCGGCTCATGGAGGCTGAACCCGTGATTGTCTTGAATTGCCCAAACAGTCATTTGGTTAAAGCCAAACAGATGAAGCCCAACACCAAGCCCAGTAGAGAACCCATGGCAGTCAAGGCCTGGTACCAACTAGACGCGTGTCGAGCAAGAAGTTAGCCACGTGGCAGACAAAGATTATGCAGAGTTACTGAACCCACGCACCATGCATTAAATGAGACTGCAAAGACATTAAATGCAATAAAACCTCTCACGCTAAAGCATGGTGAGATGGCCATGGCTGACGGCAGGTAGGTGGAGGGCTTGCGGCCAATGGGACAGTATGAATAGACAATGAAATGATTAGTAAAAGATATAAGGAAGCTTCTGAAGAATGCTTGGTAATAAGTAATTCACTCACTCTCTCTCTCTCTCTACTCTCAACCTTCTCTCTAAACTATTACTTCGATCACATCCTCATATAATTTGATCGTTTGAGGGTCCGTAAGAAAAAACCATCCCCCATTTCGAAACCTTTCTATTAGACTTGACTTGTTGCAAGTGTGATCAAGAAGACGAAGGACAATTGACTTGTGGAGTGCTTGGATCCGTCCGACCCATCTCCTGTTGACCAAATTGCTTTATTAGTTCGAGCCATTTGTGGGAATTGCTCCGATTGACAGTTGTGTTCATTGTCGCCGGGAACGGTTCCTTCCTCAACCACTTTCTTCGTCGGAGTAAATGGTTACAACAAGATCCATAGTTTCGCAACATAATACTGGAAATCCTCAAGTTGAGTCCTTCAACCCAAATAACCCACCTCTATATTTCGCAAAACTTAGTAACAGCATCAATCGCTTGGCTAAGCAAAACCAAGTCCTAATCAATGCTTTGCTCTAGCGTGATCCACCAGCTACTCCTCCCTACCGCAAGACATTCCTCCAAACCAAGAACAAGCCCACGATCATCACCACTTCCAACCACATGTGTCCCAAGGGCCACTTCTCCTAGCCTTTGCACCACAACCTTAGCAGTCGAACTTGGAAGGCCTGCATTTCTCTCCTCAGGGCTCACAGCTTCATTAGGAGGAGCCTCAACGTTTCCATAATCGCCATCCACCACATCACGCTGTTGTCTATGAAGGATAAGTTAGTAGTGTTTAACCCCAACTTCATGCTAGAGAACACAATGTTCCCATTTGGGATGAGGAACTGTGAGCCATGAAACTCCAACTTTAGGGGGGTCATGTAGAACATGCAGAACAAACCTTCCTCCATCGCCAACTCCCCCTTTGCCGCTTCTATCAGAGATAAACCTCCACCCCCTAAGTTTAAAATGTCGTCAATTGACACATTCAACGGTACAACTAATCCGATCGACCACTTAGAAACATATAGGACACTCACGATTCTCTATGCTTTTCTTGATGAGATCATGTGTCGTGCCTTCCTTGTTACGTTCAAGGGGTCGGCACGACTCTGGTTTAGTCAGCTTTAGTCGAACTCCGTCACTTTTTTCAACTAGCTAAATGAATCCTTCCTAAGCCATTTCATTGGCGTTCAGCGTCAATGACGCCTAGCGACTCAGCTGCTGAATATTCGACAAACAAAAGAATGATTTCCTCTTTTCCCTCTCCAAAAATCCTCTAACAACCATGGCCATCCTCCTCACTAAAGCCCAGAAATACATGAACATTGAAGATTCGTTAGCAGCTCGCCAAAATTCTACATCCAAACCTCCACAATTCAAAGAAAAAAGAAAAGAGTCCAAGCCCAGACACTCTCAATACACTCACCGACCCCCTCAATATTCCAACCGACTCCCACGCCCTGACTGATTGGCCCCTTCCCGTCCATCCGATCGTTTTGAGCGATATACCCCTCTCAACTCACCCATGGAGCAAGTCTTAAACCAAATCCAACAAGACTATAAGCTAAAATGGCCCCAACCTTTATAGTCTCCCTCCATTTGATGAGACCAGTCCAAATATTGTCATTTTCATCGTGACCATGGCCATAACACTAAAGAGTGCATCAATCTTAAGGATCAGGTTGAGGAACTGATCCATCAAAGGCGTTTAACTTGGTTCACCACAACCCAACCACACCAAAAAATCGTGAGGGCTAACCCTTAAAGGGCTGCCTAAAGTGAACAATACCGTGGCAAGGCAGGAGAGGACAAACATCGCAAATTTGGTGCAAAAACGAGGGCCATCAAGCATATTTTTCCGCTGTTGCAGCTTAGTATGTTGGGGGTTATGATAAGGGCAATATCCCACATAGCTGAGGAGGGACTCCTACTTTCACTATATAAGCGCACTGGTCTTCTCCACCTACTACGAGGCATTTTCCCAGAGAAAAAACAAAGCTGTAAGGGCTGACCCCTAGAGGGCTACCCAAAGCGGAAAATATCGTGGCAGGGTGTGAGAGGACAAACGTCACAAATTTGACACTAGAAGGAGGGCCGTCCGACAGACTCTTCCACTGTTGCGGCCCAGTACACTGGGGGGTTATGATGAGGACAATGTCCCACATCGCCTAAAAGGGACTCCCACTTCCACCTTATAAGTGCACTGGCCCCCTCCACCTATTACGGGGCCTTTTTACTAAAGGAAAAACAAAGCTGTGAGGGCCAAGCAGCAGAGGACTGCCCAAAGCGGACAATATCGTGGTAGAGTGCGAGATGACAGACATCGTAAACACGTAGAACCATTTGGTTTGCACTCTTTTTTCCCTATTCACGGACACGTAGAACCATTTGGTTCGCCACCCCTTGACGGATGAGGGTAGTCCCACTACCAACCCCCTGCTAGGCACCGCATGTAGGGCTACCCACGTCTGTCATTGGCCTGACGCCTTGTAGCAGGAGAAAAATTAATCCACCAACATCTCTTCTTCGTCAATCGCTCTCGACCAAGAGATTGCGCATGCGAACAAGATCTTCCACGAATTTGGCACTAACTGGCTTGGTGCCACCTCCAATTGGTTTAGCACATCGGTCACAAGTTGAGGGAGCAGCAGCCTTAAACCACTATGGAGCACCTCTTCGTACAGTGTAAACCCCATTAGCCTAGCTTCAGACGCCTTCTCGTCTGCCATTAGCAGCCTCACTTCCATGTTTTCAGGGATTTGGTACTTTCTTCAGATCTCATCCAAATCCTCTAATATTAACAACGATTTGTCGACCGTAGTGTGCCAGTGGTCAGGGGCAACTTGGCTAATTAGTTGGGTAGTCGAAATCATAGTCGACGGGATCAGGCGAGGAGCCTTCCAGTTCTCTTCTCTACCATTTTCTCCACCTTGTATTTCTCGGCCAAGGTAACCCCATTGTCATCCCCCAGTGGATCAGTCGTCAGAACAAGAGTTTTGTCTTGGGCCATCTTTCCCACATTTCTATAAATGGATTTGGTTGCAGGGGTCAGGAAGTTGGAAATGCGGAAGATATGAGAATCAGAAAAGACGAAAGAAGAGAAGTTTGGGATTGTTTGATTTCTTGCGATCAGGTATATGAAACCCACAAGTGAAAAGGCCCACGGTTTGCCTGTCTTCCAAGGATCATGATTGAAAGCTACTAGGTTGAAACTTTTACTAAGTGTGGAGGGAAAAAGGTACACTAAAGGGGTTAATCCCTCCAACTTTTCGAATCTACGTGCTTTTGCAACTCTTTACCTCCAAATAGCTTGATTTCTTTCACGTGGACGGACAGGGTTATTCTCACCCATTACTAACACCTTCATTTTTTTGTCTCACGTCTACTTCACGTCACGTCGTCACGTGTGTCCCTACTCCTCGAGCCCCACACCTTACTGTCGCATTCACTCGCTTGGTCAACCCTTGGTTGGTCTAATTTTTCACTCGACCAATCCTTGATCGATTAGGTTTGTCGCTCGGCCAACCTTTGCTCAGTCAGGATCATCGCTTGGCCAACCCTTGGTCGGTCTGGTTTGTAGCTTTGCCAACCCTAGGTTGGACAGGTTTGTCGCTTGGCCAACCTTTGCTTGGTCAGACCTACCGATCGATCCATCCTGGTTGGCCAGCGTCGTCGTTCGACCACCTTCACAAACTCAATCAACCTTAGTGTTCGCCTACATTCGACAGTTTTCACATCCCTCCGCGCTTGACTCGCTTAACCCATTACCAGTCCTCCTCCACGTTCATATTCCTTCCCCCTCTACTACCCGACAACTGGTCGTTCTACCTTTTCTCTATCACTTAGGGGACT